ATTACCAATCTTCACTTCATGGGTTTTCGAGGGCTGCCAACCTTCTTTCAAGCTCATCTACATCCGAACTGCAGACAAAAGGACATAATAGTTGCAGAAGTTAGAAAATTGCTTTTACAAGTAAGTGGAAAAATCTGAGGCTGGTTGTGAAACTCTTTGAGAGGATGTCTAATTTGAGGATTAATCGGTCAAAGAGCTTATTGGCTGGAACCAACATTGAAGAGGATGAGTTAGATTTCTAGCAAATTCCCTAGGCTGTGAGAAAGGTGAGTGGCCAATGAAATATTTGGGCTTACCCCTTGGAGACAACCCTAGATCTGCTAGTTTTTGGGCTTCGGTGGTGGAAAGGATCGAGAAATGCTTGGCAGCGTGGAAAAAGAACTATATCTCACTGGGGGGGAGAATAACCCTAATTAAGTCCACCTTAGCAAATCTTCCAGTGTACTACATGTCAGTGTTTAGGATGCCACAAGGGATAGTGAGGAGAATTGAAAAAATCATGAGGGATTTTCTCTGGGTGTCAAGGGGAAAAAAGAATGATCATTTGGTTAGATGGGAAAAGGTGAGGAAATTGAAAGGGGAAGGGGGGTTTGGGAATAGGTAATGTTAGATTGAAGAATCAGTCTTTGCTTAACAAATGGCTTTGGAGGTTTTCAAATGAAAATGGGAAATTATGGCACAGAGTGGTTGCAAGCATTCATGGCATGTCGAGCAACAAATGGAATGCTGGATGTCTCCATAGGGCTAACTTGGCTGCTCCCTGGAAGGCCATCCATGATGTTCTCCCTACATTCCTAAATTTTATCAGGTATGACTTGTCTTCTAGTAGTAAAATCAAATTTTGGGAGGATGTGTGGATTGGAGATACTCCTTTGGGTGAGAAATTTCCTTCTCTTTGTGACCTGTCCAGGTTCAAGGGTAAGCCTATTTCAGATTTCCTAAGTCAACCATCTCACCTTCCAGGGTTGAATTGGAACTTTGGATTTAACAAGAACCTTAGAGAGTCTGAACTTCTTGCAGTGTTCAAGCTGTTAGAATTGCTGAATTCAGTATTTTTTGGGGGAAGGTGGGTCAGATTCTAGGATTTCGGATCCTATTTCTGATGGGTCGTTTTCTTGTAAATCCCTTCTACATTCGTTGGTTGCCACACAATCTTCTCTTCCTTTCCCAGTTAGAGAGACTTGGTGCCCTTCTACTCCCCCTAAAATCAGTGCTTTTTGTTGGGAAGTTTTTCATGGTTGTATTTATTCCTTTGATGTACTTCAAAGTAAGAGACCAAATTGGTGCTTGTCCCCTAACTGGTTTGTCCTGTGTAAGTTGAGTGGTGAGACTGCTTTCGACCTTCTAATGTCTTGGCCTTTTGTCGGTTTTATTTGGAATTGGTTTACTTTCCTCTTTGGGTGCAGGTGGTCCTCTTCTGACAGGGCGGAAGGTTTATTCAATCCTAATGGTTTCAGTGGCAAGACAAGGAGGGGTAGGATTCTTTGGAGGTGTACTAGAGCAGCAATACTTTGGACTGTTTGGGAGGAAAGAAATGATAGAATATTTGAATGTAAAAAAAAATGCAAGGAAGCTTTAGTTGAAACAATAACATTGAGGGTGGCACATTCTGTAAAAAGCTTGAAGAAGCTGAACTTTGATGGGAGTTGTGTGGGTAACCCAAGCCCTTCAGGCATTGGGGGGGCCATTAGAGATGAAAATGGATTCATTATTGCTGTGTACTCCGGTCCTGTGGAGGAGGGTGATGTGGCAAGGGTAGAGTTTCTAGCTGCAGCATATGGGGTTGAGAAGGCTAAAGAGTTGGGTGTTAATAGATTGATCATCGAGGGAGACTCAAAAGCTGTGATAAAATGGTTGCAGAAAGGGGAAGGGGTGACATGGCAGTTGAAGAATGATTTCCGAAGATTTAAATGGATGTCAAGGAACATGTCAATCCAGGTGG